GGGGATAAACTGCTGCGGGGGAAGTGATAGAGAAGTCACGGAAATAGAGAAGTTATGGAAATTATCAGTACTATGGTTTTAAAGGGCTTGCAAAGAGGCAGCTGAGCAAACACTCGTCATCCAGGTACAAACGCTGCCAGGACCCTAAATCCCAACTCTTGAATCTACCATTTTAATAAGGACGATGTGCTGTACATCTTTGCATTACTGGGTCTCTCTTAAAGGAGAAATTTCGATTTGCTTCAGTGACTTACTAAGGTTTATTGAACAAGGGGATTACGGAGCGGGAAGGAGCATTCTCTTTCTTGGGCGTGTATTTGATCAGTTACTATAGTTTTCCCTTTCTCCAACGTGAATATTTGAATATTGACAGATCCGGGCTCAGAACAGGGCAGTGAGGAAATCCTGGTCTCCTCCAGAGGCCCGGGAAGCACACGGCGGGGCCTGGCCGGTGCTGCCTGCCTCCCCCCGGGCTGGACGGAGGGGACGTTCAGCCTGGACCTGCTGCAGTCCCGGGCTCTGGGATAAACAGGTGATAATCACTGATAAAGCTCCTGCTGGAGGTAGGGATGGGGTTGTATTGTTTTGACACCGTAGTTTGCTGCGTTCTGATGACTTCGGAGATTTTGCTGGAGCTGCTTCCTGAGATTTGCAAACAGACAAACAGGCTCGTGATTACCTGACCTGTCCTGCGCAATGCGGGGGGGGTCAAAGGGGAGAAAAGCAACTGCAACCTCGCAGCACCGGGCAGAGGCAAAGCAAGGCTGGTTTGCTCTGAAAACACTTGCAGCTGCCGGTCCCCAGCATCCGGGCAGCAGCGCCAGTGTGACGAAATCCATCCTAGCTACCCGGTAGCAAACTTTTCCAGTTGTGTCCTTTTTCACTTGCAAAGGAATTAGGGAGATGTGAATCTGCAGCTGAAGTGGTGTTTTCCTGGGTCTCTGTGGGCCCCGGTTTTATAGCTGTGGAAGTGAGGAAGAGGAAAGCAGCAGAGTTTTCTTTGGCAATGCAGAGATAACAAAGCAGATGCATCTCCCTGTGTATTCATCCAGAACCCTGCTACCGGGAATATAGAAACCAGGGTGGTGCTGGCTGTTGGAGCTGGTCCCTGGGAGGAACAATTCCTTGCCTGATGAAGAGGCAGGGCAGAAACCCACGGGAACCTGAGGCGAGTGGGGTTAGGAGTGTCTGGATTTGATCATTGATGTCTGGGTAGTCATATCAGCCCGATAATGTCAGTCTGCAAAGGAATGTGCAGTGTTCTCAGGAGCTTCGGGGTGCTGAACTGACTCACCCCTCTTCTGACCCTCCTGCCACCCCCTGGACAGATCAGGCAGCTCCTTGCTGATTCCTGCAGCATGAGGTCAGCTCTGCACAGGGGTACCAGTTCCAAAGATGCTTTTAGCAGATTCAGATCCTTTTGCTACAGGCTCCGAGCAGCCAGGAGGGGGAATAGACATGTTTTGTGTGGGAAGGACTTGGGCTTTCTACTGAACCTTCTAGGAAAGTACAGGGAGGAGTCCTGCGTGGCAACAATCTGAATGCACTTGCACCAGGTGGAACACTGAGTGTGGTCTTGGGGAGATGCAGGCATGTGCTGTATGAGGTAGCACTCTGATCATGCTGCTGGCTCTTGGAAGGACTGCAAACCATGTGCACCCTGTACTTGGGTAAAGCTGGGTTTAGGCTGTGCTCCTGAGGGGCTGTGCAGCCATCCCATTGCTCCTCTGTCCCTGATGGGTGTTGCCCTGGACAGTGTTACCGAGTGAATGCATGACAGAGTGGCCTTGGGTCAAACAAAGCCGATGAAAGGCAATACTGAGATACACCCATGTGCTCTTGGACCTCCCATTGGAGGTCCTCCACTCCCCGTAGGCTGCAGCACAGGCTCTTCCCTGTGCCTTTGTGCACGCTTTCTAGGCACAAGTTCTGTGCCTGCATCTTGCCTTGTGGAAATGAGAGCTTGTAGACAAGTTGCTCGTGTCTCCTTGGCCATTGAACTCCCCTGACAAGCCATAACAACACCGCATGCCTGTCTGGAGTCCCAGCTTCATGAACAGCCAAATTATATTTTGCTTTCCAGGGACAATTTGCAGTTGATAGTTACTATTCACGTTTCATGATTCATCAAAGATTTCAAAACACAGCAAATCTTTCTGTAGACATCACAAGGAATTTACAGAGCAAGATAAACACTGAAACTCCGCTTTTCCCCTTCATCACTCACCAGTGTTCTCAGCGCCCTAGAATTCTCTGGGAACTTTACAGCGTCCCTAAGATCCTCAGGTCTCCTATTCTGGACTTTTTTCCTTTCTTTGAGACATGAAGTATCTTCTTTCTTCTATTTAGATTATTTTCTGCACGGGTCCAATGGGCAAAATAAACCTGCTCTTTACTCAATAGCCACTGCCTTTCCTCTGCTGCCTAAGATTCTTTATTCACTGGAGGTCCCAAAGAGTTTTCACTCTATTTTTGCCTATTTTTATTACCTGACTTTTGGGGAAATACCATTCCTTCAGATAGTTAATCTCAGCTGAAAGACCTGGGTTTATCCAGGATGTTGCAATCTCCCCGGTATTCTCTAGGCTAAAGGCACTCCAGTGCTGACAGTCCTTAGTGACTGGCCTGTTCTTAAGTAAACACGGGAGTCTTCATTTTCCACCCTTTACAAAAGCAGGATCAAGTGAGAAGAGGCATGTCTATAAGCAGTTACTGAAATCAAACTGGGATGTTTTAGTTTGCAGGTAGGCAGACTCCTCTCATTGTTCATAGAGATTGTCCTCAGGTGCAACAGTCCTCCCTGCACTGAGCAAATGCTTAACACCTTGGTCACGCCGCTCCTTTGGCTGTTGTTACTCAGATGAGCAGTCTCACCTCGGTACTCGGCAAAGGTTTGTGCTCAGTGGGTAGCAAACGATACCTGTTTCCTTTTCTGGCGAAACTAAGCCTTAACGCTTGCCAGGACTTGCAGGTGAGCAGCCTGGTTTCCTCTTCTCTCAAACATTTCTAGGGGAAGGTCTCACTGTGCAGTGCCTCTGTTTGGAGAGCACGGGGTTGTGTGTGGTCATCTGTCGTGGCATCCCCTAATGCTGGCGCCTAGGCTGCCCTGAATTAATCCTTGAGCTAAAACTGATGTATTAGGGGGAAACATCTCATTCTGATTATAAGTTACTGTAAGTCGGGGCAGGTGCGCAGCGCAGGCACAGCTGCACGGTCCTGGTTTTGGAGTGAAGACACAAGCTCCTGGACCACAAGCATTTGGACCAGAAAATGGGAATGGCCAGACAACATCAGCCCAGCCTTCTGTTTCTGGTGGCAGCCAGTTGTAGAGCCAGGGAATAACACAAGTACATAGTGACACTAACCCAAAATGTGTTGCAGCCCACCCTGAATATATCCTGAGCCAGTACCGGTACTTTTAACTTTCATTTTGCTTACTGGATTTTTCCTCCATAAATTTGGCTGTTTGTTTTTTGAACTTTCTGGCACTCGCAGCATCCTGCAGCAAGGATTTTTGCGGGCTAACTCTGTGTTTCACAGGGAAGTATAACAGCTTGTTTCTTTTGAACCTTATTATGACTTGCTGTTTCATTTGATGTCCCCAAGGTTCTGGGAAAAAAAGGGCAGATTGCTGAAACCACATGCGTTTATCTCTGGTTTACATTGTCTAGAAAAAGACCTTTAAATTACTTTGTTGTTTATCTGCAGGCTGCTTTTGCTTCTTTCTCTCCCACTTACTCCCCCACCCATC